CAGAATGCCTGGTTTAGAGTCCTCGCTCTCTCCCTAATTGTATGATAGTAAACAAGTTATTTAATCTTTTCAAGCTTAGATTTCTTTATCTGTAAAATAGGTCTAAGAATACACTACCCACAGGATTGTTATTCACTCTGAATATTCTCTATGCAGACTAATGTTATTATTATCATTTGAGATGTCTGTGGACTATTGGAGAGAGATGAAAACTCAAGTAAGGTGATTTGGCATGGAGTAGTAAACTATTGCTCTTCTTTGCCTGACTTCCTGAGGGTATTTTTAATGTATCCAGCATCTATCAGAGTGTTCTACACATAATAGGTGCTCAATAAATGTTTGTTTTTCATGACTCAACATGGAATACAACAGTTTCCTAAGAAGTAGAATGAATATCATCCAGAGGGTAATGGCTGCAACATTTGACCAACTAGAACGTCTAAAGAAGAACAGGCATAAATGGTGTCATTGGGCTGGCTGTGTCAAAAATGAGCAATATGTTTAGACTGATAGAGCACTCCACAGACACCCTTGAGATGTCGGAAATTAAGCAAGGCTCCAGTAAAAAAAAGCTTATGGAGAGAATCTGGGTCAGAACTACATAGAATAGGAAGGCCTGGATGGGTGGAAATCTGCACTGTTGGAGTAGACTTCCAAATTAATAAGATTGTAGGTCCATTTGAGTATTTACTTTCCCATTCTGCTTTGGAAATGTAGAACTGAGCTTTTCTTCCAGTGTAATGTAGAGAAAAGAGGAAAGGTTTGGAAATCTGTAGTCCTAGGCTACAGTTCTGGTGCTTCAATACTTGTGAGTGTGGTCAAGTCCCTTAACCTCTCTGAGTCCCGGTATCTTCCTCTCTAATATAACCACAGACTGACTAGATGATCTCAGAGTGCCTTTCAGCAGTAAATTTCACAATACTTTAGTTTCAGCAATGGCTTCACGCTTGAAATCATACACACACAAATTGGAATACATCTTTCACTAGAGGAAATTTTCAACTGCCTTTCTCGTCTTGAATATCTTTTACGTTTTATAATATTCAGTATTTCATCTTCTTTTGCTACTTAAGTAGGTTAGCAGGGATTTCAGGAAGAAAACTTATTGAAGGATCTTATTTGTGTTTGAGGAGGAAGTGTTTTGTCAGAAGTTCTGGTAGAGAGTAACTTAACTTTTTCAAGGCAGGGAGGGTTTCATTTTGATCTTTGTATGTTCAGGGCCTTGGATATAGTAGGTGTTTAGTAACTTTAGTAACTTTGTAACCTGAGCTGAATTGGCTGTGATTGGGAATAGGGTACACCTGATAGAGTATGAATGGAATTGAATCTGATTCAGTGTGATTCAGTTCAAGAAGTGTTTTTTACTTACTTTGGACTTACTGCCATGTTGATATGTCATTGCCTCAGAGAAGCACCTAGTCTAGGTTTGGACAGCAAGACACATTGAAATATATCAAATAATAGACTGGATTGACCAAATAAATGATTCCATGGAATTAGAAATACAAGGAGAAGCAGTGGGAGGGAGAGTTCAGGCAGTAGAGTCTGGAGATAAAGTACATGTCTTCGTAACTAGACCTAATGATTCCAACTCTACATTTTGTAGCCTCAAAGAGTCGTTTCCAGGGAAATAATGAAATTTTAAATAATTTAACTGAAATCCTAGTACATGTGTGTATGTACGTGTATGTGTGTGTGTTATATGTATTATTATATATATATATATATGTATTATATATATATTCATGCTATACAGTACATTTTTTCAGGGATATTTTATGGTTTGGTTCATAAAATCTGACATATAACTTTAGGGCATCACAGCTTTGAAAAGATTGAGAAATCACTGACCTAAAAGGTTGCTATCTCAGACCAATACATTAGAGCTGGGAAGAAAATACAATCACAGGGAACTTCCATTTATCTTCTGAGGAAAGCTTTTTATCATATGGGATAGTACATAGAGGCCTGGCCCTGGAGTCAGGATGACCTGAGTTCAAATTTGGCCTCAGATACTTAATAGCTATGTGACTCTGGGCAACTCACTTAATCTCTGCCTCGCTCAGTTTTCTTAGCCATAGAACAGGGATGATAATAGCACCTGCCTCCCAAGGTTGTTTTGAGAACCAAATGAGATAATATTTGTAAATTGCTTAGCACAGTTCCTGGAACACAGTAAGTGCTTAATAAATGCTTGTTTCCTTCAAATCAATGGCAACAAATGAAGAAAAGGAGGAAAGGAATAGGCTTTTGAGTGGAACGTAAACTGCTAACCTGTTCATTCATGAAGCCATGACATATCTGTAAAGGGTAGAGACAGAGGCAGAGGAGATGGCCAGTCATAGGGAGTGAGAGAAATACCTGAGTTATTAAAGATGTTGATCCTGAGGCTTGGATCTGGATCCCCACCCTTTGCAAAAGAACTGTCAGGAAGATGAGAGAGGACTGGTGATGGATTTCCTGTTGATTTTGTTCTTACAGTCAACACACACTCATGCTGTAAAAATCTGAGGGATTAATTATACAAGAGAATTCCAAGTTCTGCATTCCTTTTTGTTTCTTACATACCAGAAGGAATATATCAATTTAGAAATATTAGAGCAAATGGAATGGATTTTCTTGGGGACAGACTTTCTCATTATTAAATGTTTTCTAGGAAAGAAGATATGACAATTTGTGAGGATGTTGTAGATGGAATTTGTTTTGTGTAGTGTTTGCATTATTAATTATGTGGCAACTGAAGTTGAAGGATAATAGGATCATTGATTTGGAGATAGAAGGCCTTAGACATTTTTCTAGTTTTAGAAAGACCCTCATTTTATAAATGTGGAAACTGAGGCCCAGAGAGATTAAGTGACGTACTCAAAATTACAAGGCAGCAAAGGTCATTCACAGCTGACTTCAAAGCCATTGATTTTTCCACTTTCTACACTGCTTTCCCATCCCTTCCAATTCTGTGATTCTAGGAAATGTAACTTAATGAATTTCAGTTAGTACAGATTAAGAATTTAAATCTGATACCAAATCTTGACCATTCAGGAGAGAGAAATGGTATAGTCCAGAGCACTCACTAAATTAGAAATGAAATTGAAAATAATAGCACAGACCATTATTTTGATGACCCTCTCTTTCTCATGAAGAAGGAAAATAACAGAAGGTAATAGTAGCCCCTTGAGAGAGTTAATTGACTTTCAGGATCTCAGTAATTTATTCAATTCATTGAGGGCAGGGACTATGTGTCATATTTCTTTGCATTCAGCACAATTCCTAAGTCAGAACTGGGCCTCAATTCATACATATTTACCGATTGATAATTCCAGAGAAATGTGATTGGATGAAATGAAAACAATAATACCGACTTATTAATAAAGAAGTAGGACTGGCTAATAAGTACTTCCCAGGCTTTTCTTCCAGTTTTCCAATCCTTCACTTTAGCTGGACAATGGCTTAAACATTCCTATCTCTGCATTTCTATTCATACTATTCTCTACCTCCAATGCCTTTCCCACTATTCTTTGCCTGTCCAAATCCTAACACTCTTTAAGGATCAAGCCTTTGTATGTCTTCCAAGAAGACTTTCCTAATTTAGCCTGAAGCAATATTTCCCACTTCTGGACATCAACAACACTTGGAGTCTCATTTGGTACTTAGTCAAATATTTTTGTTACTATCAGTTATTGTCTCATGTATATGTGCCTTGATTTACATTTGTTGTACACTCCTTTAAGAAAGGGACTGTAACTTATACTTGTAACCTGTACAATGGCTAGTGCATAGGACTTGTTGACTTACAAGACTCTGGAGCTGAGAGAAATCTTATGACACAGCTTCGTTCAACACCGACATTTTACAGATAAGGAAATAGAGAACCAGGGAGACGTTAAAGGACTTGCTGGATGTCACGTGATTAGTCAGTGGCTAATCAATCAACCAATCAATCAGTAAATATTTAATAAGCATCTCTTATGTGCCAGGCACTGTGCTAAGTGCTGGGGATGTAAAAAGAGACAAAAGACAGTCCCTGCCCCCCAAGGAGCTTACAATCTAATGGATTGTAATAGATGGCCAAACTGGGATAAGAACTTAGGTGTCCTGACTTCTGATGTATCGATTTCTCCACTCAACATCCTGCTTCCCTTAGGTACTTGACATTTGTCAAGTTGATTTAAATATAGTATGTGATGGAGATATGTACTTCTGGAGCCTTTTGCCTTGTTTTCCTAGGAATCAAATTTCCTTTACCCAGGAATCAAAATTAGAGATCATTGCAAGTCAGTCCCATTCAGCTAGATAGGGGTTTGAATAAAGGAGGCAATTCAAGTTTATTTTAAAAAGAATATTTTCTCCTCTGTAAGTCCCAAGGATTTAATTGACAAGGAACAACGGCTAGTGTGCCAGAGAAATACAGGTACTGTCAGTCTGAAGTACTAGGACCAGAACAGGGCCTGAAGAAGCTGGCAAATTGGTCTCTCATTAAGGAAAAAGCTGAAGAGACTGAGGTGTCTAAAAATTGCCCCTTGGTACTTCTAGGATTCCAGTTTGAAGGTGTTTGGGTTTTTAAAAAAAATCACCATAGTTTTTTTTTTTGCTTCCTAGTGAAACCCTCAACAATTACTGCCAGCCCTGAAAAAAAGCTAAAAACTTCCCATTGAACAAAAATACCCACATGTCCTGTATACCTCTGTACTTCCAAGTGCTATTTAGTCTCTTTAAAAAAGGTGGTTGAAATATTGGTTGAATATTATTGGTTGAAAACTATATCTGCAAATGGATTTGCCATTGTTCTTCATGTTCAGAGATTGCACTAATACTGACAGTATTTTTTCCAGTTCCATCACGGCAGAATGGAGGCTTGAGTTATGAATGATGGGGATGTTTTTAGTGGCACTATCCTCATTCTCTCCCCTGTATCCCTGAAGAATAGAAGCCACCACAACCACTAAAGAATGAAAGGCAATGAGGATGAGGATGAAGAGATAGTTGTCGATGCTGCTGCTAACCTTTCACAAGGATGGTCCTGGCCTTAGCCCATTCTGCTCTCCCATCTGACGTCAGCAGACCAATCGGTGGTAACCTTTCTTCCTCATTGTCAGCCATTTTGACTATCTTTCGTAATTGAGTGAACAGATCCCCCTCACTGAGGCGACGGAAATTAATGACCACATCCAAGACAAAGAACTGTGGGGGAAACAGGTCAAACATTTCAACTCATGGAAACTGAGCTTCAACTGAGACCCCAAGGCACCAGGCTCTCACTTAATTCTGAGGGAGGGTCCCACAGGAGAAGGAATCTTTGTGACTCAACTTTCCATGAGCTCTGTAGGTGTAGCTTTTGGTAGTTCCCAGTAGACTGTGATTCAAATCTAGCACTAAAACCGTTGGGTGTCCTAGTTTCCAAATTGCCATCAAGTCAGAGAAGGGGATGTAGACTGAATTTGGCTACATGAAAACTTGTTTTCTAGACCCAAATCTTACAAAACTTTTATAGTTTTACCCTTATGGAGCCATGAACACTCGAGGGTCTTTGAATTGTGTAAGACCTTATTCCAGAGCACACACATTACTGCTAACTTCCTCTACACATTGGGGAATTCTCAGTTCAGGATGTGGTTCCAAATTTCTTTAACAGCTTGTCTTATTTATTTGATACTTCTACTTCTCATGATCAGATAAGCATCAAGGTCTTGTTTTCCTAAACTGATGAATTAAAATGAAGTTGTGAAGCATGCTCCAAGAAACACTTTTTTCTAAATAAAGCAATGGAGGACTAGTAGGGACTGAAAAAGCCGTGCTGTAGAGTTACACAATTGGGCAATGCACAAGATTTTGTTGGGAGTCCCTGAATTAGATATGGGAGGTGTATCTTTGTGAGGCGTGGAGATTCTAAAATGTAGCTTTGGTTATCACTGCTAATTTAATTAACAGTCCTCACAACAGGACATCACCCAGCATTCTCTTTTTCAAATGTCGCCCATGTCCTCTTGTTCTGTCTTTAGTGAAGCTGCAGAAGTACAGATTGGTGAACATTCTCTACCTCCTGACTCTCTAGAAATATGAAGATAGTTCTTAGATTGTAAGAAGCAACATAGTTTAGTGGCAAGAGAATAACGGGATTAAGAGTCAGGAGACCTGGACTCTAATCTTCACTAAGTGATCTTGGTCTGTGTCTATCTCCTTAGGCATTGTAGCAAAGACGTTGTAGCAAATGAAACCAACCTACCTGATTGTTACAAGCCACAATAATATGCTCTGGTTCAGGCATGATACTGCTTGTCTGGGCCACAAGAGTATCTTTGGTATGTCCTGGAAGACGGTAGGAAGAGAAGAGGCCATAGTATTGCTTCATGCAGAGAGGCTGGCCAGATAGCTGTCCTCTGGCACAGTCAATAGGTATGGAATGGCTAGACAGGGAGAAAGGAAAGAAGAGGAGGAAGTCAGGGAGGGAAAGGGAGAGAATGAATCTTGTACTAGATGAGACAAAGTACATCAAGAATCATAGCTTCTTTATAGTATCAAATGGATAGCTCAATTCCCTTATTCCAATTTATGTGTCATTCCTGAATTTATCCAACAGTAGAAATGATTTTGGAGGGGGCCACAGCAGCCATCTACACAAATGAATGGTTACCAGTGATTTGTCATGGAAATCTTCATGTAAAGAGGTAGAAATATATATATGTGTGTGTGTGTGTGTGTGTGTGTGTGTGTGTGTGTGTGTGTGTGTGTACACATATGTATGTGTATATACACACATGTCTGAAGATAGGGCAGGTGGGCTAGAAAGGGTGTGTGTAGGTGTGTCAGTCTGACGTGTAGTGTAAGGCTTACACTTAGAATGCTACAATGGTCTAGGTGGGATCTCTGTCTTTTTACTGAAGGTTGTCCTCAGATCGCTTTCTCTTCCCTTTCTTTTACCTTAGTAGGAGGTTTAAGAAGTGAGTCAGATCCACAAGAGTTAACATTGTTTTGCCACCTCCTATCCCAATAGTCACCAACTTGCTATGTCTGTGGTCACTATTGCCCTGATGCCCTAGAAAAAATTGAAGGACTCCCTACATATCTGTTGAATCACACATCCCCACTGAACCCAGTTTTCATATTCTTTACTAACTGAGAATAAAATGCAGTTAGAACTTACATGCTCTTGTCCTCTGCCACTGTGGCCCCAGCTCTGTGGTTTCTCATCTCTCCTTGACAGTTAATTCTACAAATCCTATGATTGACTGTTGGCATTTCTCCCCCTACCATACTTGTAGGATGGGAGGAGGGGTATGTAGAATGAAAAATGGCCCCAAATTGTGAAGAAGGGGAAATTTATATTCTGAGAAGTGTATCCTTTGTGACTTTTTATCTTCCCATTTGGGGTCCCACTTGCTGCTAGCCCCAAGGTGCCTAGTCTCCTCATGTTGCCCCTTTCATGCTTATTGGCCCTTCCATTCCCACATCAGCACCTCCATTTGCTCTAGACATAGTCTATTCCTTTTCCACATTGATGCTCACCGTACTAAGTTCTATCACCTTACCAGCTTGCCACATGACTGGTTCACTAATCTTCTATAGAGAAATGTGGATTGAGGTGTTAATGATTGAAGTCTGAAATGGTTTCGGTCTTCCTTTTCTAGGGTAGATATTTTAAACTGTAGAGGGGAGTGCTTAATCTATCAGGTTAGATTTCAGACATAATGAGAAGCCATTACAATAACTGGAGAAAATTTTTTTTGGGCTGGGGACTTTTGCTCTTCAAGTCTCTGATTCTGTCTGTGGCCTTTTCAGTTGAGCTACCTTGTCTAGTAGAGCAAAAGGATATGAGGCTATCTGGTACAGTGGAGAAAGTGCTAGATCTGGGTTTGAATCCTACCTCTAAGATCCACTCATTGTGTGAGCATGGGCATATCATTTAACCTCTATGAGACTGAGAAATTCTATGAAATATTAATTAAAACCCTGGCACTACCAACAACACATGTTGTTGGGTCGAATGTTCTTTATAAACTTACAAGTGCTATAGATAAATAAGCTGTTATTTTTATAAACTCTGCCATTTTGGGGAAACAAGGAGACCACTCAATGCAGCCTAGCTCCTTCCTGTTCTTTTACCGCCTGGTGACTCATTTCTCTGTAGGGAAACTCTCTGCTATCACATAGCTGGGCTTAGCCTTTCCATATTTCCCCAGACTACTTACCTGTCCAGTAAGTTTTTGTAGTCAAGCACTCCAGAGATGAGGTTGGCTGTAAACCTAAAAGAGAAGGACACTAGAAGTCATCAGAGACTGCCATGCCAGGGGAGCCCTACTATGGTCTCTCAAGGTAGGAAGTGGTACTTGAGGTTGTTCTTTACAATAAGCTAGTGATTCTAAAAGGTAAGATGAGGAAAGAATGTATTGTGCAAAGGCACAGATGGGGAGATGGAATGCCATTTATGAGGTACCCCAAAAGTCCAGTCTGTCCGAATGTCTGGTGGAACCAAGATTTATATCTAGTCACCTTGGATCCTCACTTACATTAATTTTACTGTACAGTATTGTGCTCTCTCAGCTCCTGCCCCTCAGCTTGGCACTCCATGACCTCCCACCCCTCTATGCCCCAACCACAAAAAAAAAAAAACCCTTGCAAGTGAAAGTAGAGAAACAGACCATGAAGAGACTGCCACCATTGCCACCAGCGCCAGACTGGGGCTTGGCTTGAGACCTCCAGCAGTGAGAGAGGAGACCTTTGCCTCACTCCACCCACCCACCTGCATGTCCTTCCCACGTACCTGTCTTTCATCAATCTGCATTTGGGTACCCCCTGTCTGTCTCCAGCCCTCTCCTGTCTGTGTCTGGCCCAGATGTGTCTGCCCCTGAAACGTTTTTCCTGTCAGTTCTGCTTTCCTCCTCCTGTTTTCATGTCTCTGTCCCTAACCTCTACATTGTCCTTGAACCGTGTGTTGACCCTTTCTCTCCATGGGTGCAAAACCCCCTTTCTGCCTCTCTCTCTCCCTTGCCTACATCAGGTGGGCAGATTCATATGAGTAGGTCTGCCACTTACAGTGAGAACCATCTGTGTAAGTTTCACTTCTATATGGAAGGTGGATTGGAAAGGGGAGAGATGAGTTAGGGAAGCCAACTAGGAGGCCAATCCAAGAAAGAGGACCTGAATGAGAACAATTATAGTGTGACTGGAGAGAGGGGGGGGATGTAAGAAATACTATGGAGGTAGAATTGTTGAGACTTGGCAACTGATTGGATATGTGGGATAAGGGAGGGAGGAGGAGTCATCAAGGATGACTTCAAGGTTGTACTCTGAAAGGCAGAGGCTATGTCAATTTCACAGTAATCTGGCTAATACAATCAGAATAGATGCAGCCCTGATGGATAATTCTGACCATAACATGAGATCTTAGAATCTGTGTTGATCAGCTTGGCTATCGATGCCGGTATAATTAACTAAGTACAAACTGTAGAATTCATTTTGTGACAACGAAGGAAGGATATTACAGTGAGGACTAGGGAGGTGGGATTGGCGGCAAACAGAGATAAAGAACAGATAAAAAGTGTTAAAATTGTTTCTTGTTCCTCTGGCTGCCTCCCCCTTTTAGTCAGTATAGTAAGTGAATCGCTAATTAACTTATTAAATTGTGAAATGGGGCAGGCACACCCAGTTTTTTAGGTACTTGCAAGAAAAGACTATGACAGCATTGGGGAAATGAGGCTGCAATCACACTTTAATAAGGCACAAAGGATGTAGAGAGAAAGAGTACGGAAAATATAGAGACAAACAGTGAAAAGGGATACAGAAACAGACAGTCTAGGGATGGGAAGAGGGTGGTGGAGGATGGTAGGCAATGTGGGAACAGGAGGGGTTGGGGAGAGGCACAGAGAGTCATTCACTCAATCTTAACTTCCTACTATTACTACTTTATACTGGCTACTTATAACCTTATATAATATGTTAAAATTATGTCTTATTCTGGTCCCCTTGACTCTCCCCCTCCCCTTCTAGTCACTATAAGAAGTTATGATATAAAGTAACAATAGCAGGAAGTAAGATTTCAAAGGAACCCAGAACAGCCAAAGATCAAAGAAGCATAATTTTCAAATTGTATCATATATTAACCAAAAATCACATCCTAGTATTACGTGCTAAATCAGGAGAATCCATCTACAATTTGCTGTTAGGGACTTTTGGTCTTATGCCATTTAAATCTCAGATAAGTCCCAGGCATCCACAGTGAGACCAGCAGAACACCAAATGTCTGGTGGAACCAAGATTTATATCCAGTCAGCTTGGGTGCACACCTGGACTATGACAGTAGCTTCCTTGTTAGCATCCCTACCTCTGGTTTCCTTTAACTCATTCTGCACATCACCACCAGGTCAATCTTCCCAGATTTTTGTCATGTCATTCTCTTGCTCAAAAACCTTGCAATGGTACCTTCATACATGCAATACAAATTCCTTAGACTGGTATTCAAGGGCTTTTGAAATCGAAATGCTTGCATCATATTGCTTGCACCTAAGATGGTGAGAATAGATGATCCATAATCTTTGCTTCCTCAAGCAAGCTGCAACACTCCTAGAAGTCTCGAAGAGCCCTTTGGTCCTCCCTTCCTGGAACTTCAAAAGCCTAGTGCTCAAATTTCTTAAGCCTTGCTTCCTCAATCAAATAATTCATGTATAACTAGAAGAGACGACTCCTAGGAATCACTAAACACCAAAGTTCAACTTTTATCTTGAGCTTGGGGACAATTAGTACTTCAAGTCTTCTCTTTCTCTCACTTTCTTTAGCTCTTCTAAGGGAGCATGCCACAATAATTCACCTCCTGTTGTACTGGCTTCCCTAGCCAGGCAGCCAGTTTTACCATGTGCTTAGATGACATTATCTTCCTAATCACCCTGACTCCTTGTTAGTCACATTCTGACCCTAGTCTCCATTCTTCCCTTTGGAATTCCCATTCTATTATCCACAACCTAACTTATGCCACTGAGCTTTTTAGCCTTCATCCCTTCAACTTCCTGCTCTATTATAAGCGGGGCTCTGCCCCAAAGCCACTGTATGCCTGGAAAACATAGCTCTTCACGGCCCATTTCATAGAATGAATTTTGTTTTTATATATAAGGCAAACATTTATTGAATTCAATCATAATATTTATGCACAATACAATAATCTACACTTTTTAAAGCTGAAAGAGTACATCCCTAAAAGATATATGGTCAAAAGTTATGAGCAGGCAATTTTCAAAGGAAGAAATTCAGATTATTAACAACCATATGAAAAATGTTCTAAATCACTGGTAATTAGAGATATGCAAATTAAAACAACTCTAAAGTTCCACCTCATACCCATTAGATTGGCCAAGGTGACAAAAAAGGAAACTGACAATTGTTTCTGAGGGACTTCAAAAAAATAAATATACTAATGCACCATTGCTGGAGCTTTGAATTGGTCTAGGTATTCTGGAAAACAGTTTGGTTCTATGATCCCAGAATCATGGAACTGTGCAATTTGACTCAACAATACTATTCCTATATGCACAAGAGAAAAAGATCTTATATTTACAAAATTATTTATAGCAGCTCTTTTTTACTGATAAAGAAATAGAACCTAAGGTGTGCCCATCAATTGGGAAATGGTCAAACACTGTGGTATGTACATATAATGGAATATTATTTTATCATAAAAAATGATGAAGAGATACTTGCAGAGAAATCTGGGAAGACATATGAATTGAGGCAGACTGAAATGAGCAGAAGCAGGGGAAGAATTTATACAATAACAACATTGAAAAGAAAAGCAACTTTGAAAGCCCTAAGAACTCTGATCACAATCATTCTGGAAAGCAATTTGGAATTATACCCAAAGGGCAATAAAACTGTGCATACACTTTGATCCAGCAATACCATTACTAGGCCTGTATCCCAAAGAGATTTATCAAAGGGGGGGGAAGGGAAGGACTTATTTGTGTAAAAATATTTATAGTAGCTCTTTTTTGTGGAGGCAGAGAATTAGAAATTGAGAGGATGCTTATCAATTGGGAATTGGCTGAACAAGTTGTGGTATATGACTGTCATGGAATACTATTGTATTATAAGAAACGACAAGCAGGCTGATTTCAGAAAAACCTGGAAAGACTTATATGACCTGATACAAACAGAGTGAAGTGAACAGAATCAGAAGAACATTGTACACAGTAACAGCAATATTATGCAATGATCAGGGGTGAATGGCAGCTTTCTCAGCAATATTCCAAAGGAATTCTAATTCCAAAGGACTCACGATAAAAAAATGCTATCCACATCTAGAGAAAGAACTGATGGAGTCTGAATGCAGATTGAAACATCCTATTTTTCACTTTATTTTTTTCATGTTTTTTTTTCTTTTGGCCTGTGTCTTCTTTCACAACATGAGTCATGTGGAAATATGTTTTGCATGATTGCACATGTATAACCTATATCAAATTGCTTACTGTGTCAGGGAGGGGTGAGATGAGAGAGGATGGGAGAAAATTTAGAACTCAAAAATTTTTTTAAATGAATGTCAAAAATTGTATTTACATGTAATTGGGGAGAATAAAATATTATTTTTAAAAAAAGAATCTCAGGGGGCAGCTAGATGGCTCAGTGGATAGAGCTCCGGCCTTGGAGTCAGGAGGACCTGAGTTCAAATCCTGCCTCAGACCCATAACACTTACTAGCTGTGTGACTCTGGGCAAGTCACTTAACCCCAATTGCCTCACCAAAAACAAAACAAAAACCTCATAGCACTTGGTCAAGCCACACAGTAAAAATCTGACTCAAAAAGGAAAAAAAAAACTCTGATCAATGTAATTGCCAACCATGGTTCCAGAGAACTGAAGAAGCAAGCTATATACTTCCTGACAAAGGTGATGGACTCAGGATGCAGAATGATCCATGCATTTTTTGACATGATCATTTTGGGAATTTGTCTTACTTGATCATACACATTGATTGCCCAAGTTTTCTTTTTCTCTGGTGAGGCAACTGGGGTTAAGTGACTTGCCCAGAGTCACACAGCTAGTAAGTGTTATGTGTCTGAGGCCCGATTTGAACTCAGGTTCTCCTGAATCCAGGGCCAGTGCTCTATCCACTGTACCACCTAGCTGCCCCTTCTTTTTCTTTTTTCAAATAAAGATGGATGGGAAAGAGAGAAAGGCTAGGGAAAGAGTCCTTTTCCCCTCCCCCCTAAAAAAATGAGAACAGAAGAGAGACCAAAAGGAGTCACAGTCAAAACAGCTTT